CTAGTTTGTGTTCTGGGCAAAGTTGTGCTCTGTATGCCAGGAAGAAGATGACCTGAAAACAGTTACTTATGTGGTAACTCTGACGACCAAGTTCAGAGATACCCTACATTATTACATTTCCACAACAAAATCAGCTATAAGACAGAGTCCAAAGTAGAGATTATTTCTACAGAACTTAACTTTTTAGACTTCCTAATTACTATGTAATATGCCATAAGTTTCATCACTTTGCCAATTAAATGAATGTTAGAATCCATTAAATGTGGTCTCCCTTCCTTCTATATTTTTATGTTCCTATTTAGCATAGGGAATAGGCGGCTTCCATTTTATAGAAGTTAATTTCAGACCTTGCTTTGTCCATCGAAGGCAGCTCCATCTCTCCAGATGTGAATACTTTAGAAAGGAAAAAAAGGAGGCCACTGCACTTACTTTATGTGGGTTGCTTCATCATTTAGTAAAGAATGAATAGACACTGTTGGAGTAACTCAATCTCAGTAACAGTGGCGTCTCCCTGTAGGTTTCAGCAGTTGTGCTGCTATCTAGTCTGTCAAAGCTCAGTACTCTTTAAGGAATCTCCTCCAAGCTGTGTGTCAGCAGCTTCCTTGGAGCAGGTATAGCCATACAGAGGCAGCTCTTGGATTCTGCCTACAGTGTCAGGCTTTTGTCACATTTGTTGGTGATGATGAATTTCATGGCAAGTGTAAATAAAGCACCTCTCTATCCGAATACAGCCTCTACTGTGAGCCCAGTTAGCCACCCAAATGGAGGTGGGGTGAAACTCTGGGACACACTGGGTAAATCCATTGCCACAGACTCAAAAGCGCACAGCACTGTCAGACAGGCTAAAAACAAAAAGTGAAATCTTACCATAGGGTGTTTATTAAAAACATAACATTGACATATCCAGAGCAGTTTCCAGAATGGAAAAAAGGATGACCAAACAGGTACAGGAAAGCAGGTAAAATTAACGTTGAGGAAAATAGCATTACCTGATGGTCTACAATAAGACAGAACAAAAAAGTGAAGTCATGGAATGATTCAAGTGCCCACTATGGACTGGAATCTTTTCATTTTTATACTATTTTTTGCAGAGGCAAACTTACAGTGTTCTCTAAATACAACGAATTCTCATTTAGTCTTCAGTATTTGTTGTCAGAAAGTGATGTGTTACATGAATTTCTTTTATTAATTTAGATGATTAAGTTTTACATTTATACCGTTCTCAATTTTCAGTGTATGGATTAACATTAATAACTTAGTTTTCCTCCTGCCATGTAATATGCCCATGTGGCATGGGCTCCAGGAATAAATCCATCCACATTTCCTAAATGTTTGGCAGGATTAGGAAGTACATTGTGCCATCATGTATTTTAGGTTGGTTATTTTATAACCAATGTAAACATTTGTTTGATCATGTTCAATATTTTTGTTAAAAGGGAAAAAATTAATTTGGACACTATTTCAGGAGCACTGTCGTATACGAGAGCTGTTGTGTTCCTGCCCACATTTCATGGGTCTAGGAAATCTAGGCTTTTCTAAACCCACTACTTGGAGAGGCGTGATGATGCTATTTGGTATCACAGACACCTCGTTAAGAGCAACAAATACCTGAAACTTAAGCTATAACTTTTAGCACCATTACTGTTTGTGATGATCAGAAAACCCTTGTATTCAGAGACGCTGCTCTAAGTTAGGCTTTTCATTCCCAGTGGCGTTCCCTCTTACATGCCGGTGCGTTTGGCCCAGGATGAGGTGAAAGGGAAGGCTGATGTTCTCACACTGCCCTGATACCAGCTTGGCTGAACTTCAGTGGTATTTTCCGGATGTAGAAACACCTACATATAAACTTTAAAACTTGAGCTCTGAGAGTAATGGCAACTGCATTTCCTTCTTTCATTACACCTTTTCAAACGTGCGTTTGGATTTTACTGTAGAACTGTGCTAGTTACAGCTGGGCAGTAAAATACCATGCTGATAGCACCGCGGCAATGATTTATAATAAATTTACAATAAAAGGAAAATCTAGGGAAGTTCTATATTTACAAATGCTACATTTATATAAATGTAAATACAATTTAATATTAATGCTAAAATCTTAGCGTTTGAAAGAGGTATAGGCATACTTCCTCCTTAAGGACACACTGATGAAGGCAGAAGAGGAATCCTTCGTAAAATTAAACAACAAAAAACAAATTGAGTAGGTTCATTAGAATCAAGGTGATATGTAAAACCATAAGAATGGATGAGATCAGCTATGGAGGGAATATTAATGGGGAGAGGTGGGGACAGAAGGGAGTAAGAGGACAGGGGTGGCTGAACAAGGAGTACTTTAAGACACACAGCTGTCTTGAGCGTTAATAGGCAAAGACAATAGCTATAAAAGCAGCTCTTCTACCCGTATGACTGAACACCTCTTAAAATTATTCAGCCCTGACTTCAAGGGCACCTGAGGGTGTGGTCTTTCCGGCAAAGTACTTGAGCCATCATCTGGTACAGCAGGAAAGAAAAGAAACAGACACTTCATAGTGGGCACCTGTACTCCAGCGGTTTATAGGACTTTTCCTTTGTCATGAATTTCTTAAACCTAAAAAAAAAAATCAGTTCTCATCTTCAGGTTATTACTAAGTGACTTACAGCACACAAATGCTAACAGAGATAAAATGTTTATCAGTAATCTTGTGGCTAAAGGTGAGAGCGCATGAATAGTCTAAGTACCTGCTTTAGTTTCAGCCCTTTGTAAAGGATGTACCAGTATGTCTTTCCCCACCTTGTTCTAAAATTTTCCTTGACTGTAGTACCACCTTCATTAAGCCTGAGAGGACCCTGCGTCTCTCCCTCATCACTATCCCCCGCAGCCTGGCGACAATGCAGTTTCAATGGTGACTTCCTCAGCAACCCTGTAACTTGGGAATCCGAGATCACACCAAATTCGCATTTGGCTTTCTATCAGATTTGCCGTTCATCACATGATGGGGAGACAGAAGGTAGTCGCCAAAGAGATGGACAGAACTTGTTTAAATATTCCATACTACTAAACTTTACAGCTGTCCGTTTATCTTCCAGTGATACTAAGCACACTGTCATGTTAAATTCAAAACACTTCAGGATCAAAAAACGTACTGTTAAAACAGAAAGACCGAAACCTATTTTTATATAAAATACAGTATAATTTCAGATACAAAATGCAACATGTACCTACAGTTAGATCTTTTCTAAGTTACAATCTGGGGATTTATATTTTTTAAAGTTACCTCTGGTGACTTTCAGTGCAGGACCTGCATGGAGTTTAAATATATTGAATTTGTCTTTTAAAAACTGGAACAGAGCATAAACATTCCTGACTTCAAAGAACTATTTTCAGATAACCTTTTCCTTTAATTCATTAGAGAGACAACTTCCTAACTTCCCTAAAATCAGACATGGTCTGGTTTTGTGTGGGCAAAGTTCACGACTGGATCTTCCATTTGGTCTCTGCATTTTTGGATTCGTCTGTGCTATTTTGACATCACTATTGCCTTTCATCATATCTTTTTTCCAAAACAAGGTGTTCATTGTATGTCAATGTAAAGTATTTAACCTAAGGGAGGAAATTATGCTGCTTGTTTCAATTTCCCTTAAGCATCAGTGATCATTTCAATCATTGCAATTGCCAGGTTTACATTTTTCATTCTAGATTCCTAATTACGTAAGATGATTGAGGGCAATTCCAACATGTTTGAGAATCACTGATGCAGAGATTCTGGGAAGTCTTTTACTATGTTTGCACTAACAAACTGTGCTTTCATGGAATGAGAGGGTAAAAAGACAAGGTTCATCCTAACTCGTAATGCCACTACACTACCATGCTGTCAGTCACCAAATACTGGAGACTTACTCTGCTTCAATTTTTAGCTGGGATGTGTGTGTTTGTGTTGCTAATTTCTAAAGATGACTAGTATAAACTCAGGAGGCTTGGCTTGATAAATATATATATATATAAATACAGAGCCAAATATATACACATTATATATATGTGTGTATATATTTGGCTTTCTAAATATATAACCATATATATATATATGGATAGACAGATATATGTATATATGTGTGTGTGTGTATATATATATATATATGGTTATTTCATGTAGATCCTGTAAAACTATTCCAGGACATGAATGTCTGTATCTGAATGGTTACAGGAAATCATCTTTCCTAACAATTGTCTAAAAGAGCAACATTTCAATAGATGTTTTAGTTTATAAATAGCTATTTGATTTCTTTTAACAAATAGCTATATATAAACTAAAAAACCTGACCTGTTGTAGGGAGCTGTTAAAAAGTAAACTTTAGGTCAATTTAACAAAATACCATGTGCTAGCCTTAAGGCTTTGAAAACCCCTGCTCGTACCCTTACCTGCGATGAAATAGTTGGATGCCACAAGGGTACTAAGCAGCAGCTGCAGTAACGAGCATGTGCATAGACAGACACACAGGATAACTATAAAATAAAAAGGCCTCAAGGAGAGTGTTAAAAACCTTCATGAAAGGGACACGGCCAAGGAGGAGAACGGGCCTTGATCCCTTTTACCATTTTTGTAGAATGCAGCACAAGTGGTATTTGTGAAGCCTACAAAGGTACCTTTTTTCCCCAATTTGTAGCAATTGTTGGTGAAAGCAGAGTTTTTATTTTTTTCCTTGCATAGGCAACTACAGACTCTAAACGTAGGCAAGTGAGCAAGAACTGTGAGACCGGGGACTTGCTGGCCTGCTCCTGCTATGCTAACCGGGAGAGAAGTCTGGGTTTCGGATCAGGAGCCCTTGTGAATGGTTTAATTCCTTGACAGCGACCATTAGCTGTCAGCCTCGCCGTGGATATTGTCCATGTGCACTTTGAGGTAGTCATTCCTTGTAAACTTCTTATGGCAAAACTGGCATTCCACCAGCGGACGATTAGGATTATGAGTCATCTTGTGCCGGATCAGCATTTTCTTCAGGCTAAAAGCCAAGTCACAAACCTAGAAGAGACCCGGAGAACCCAGTATTGCACTGAAAAACCTGAAGATACACCCATTTACCATTTACACAAACCCATCATGCAGAATCCTGTTATCAAGTACGTGCTGACAGGAATAACACAAGTTTGCTTGCGACATAAATGCACATGCAACAACCAAACTGAAGGGTAAAAAAAAAGCAGATTAGTAATAGCTCCCTAGAGTTAGGGCCATTTAATGTGTATCACTCCGCACCCCCACCTGCTGTCGTGAACTCCCCCTAGAGTAGCAACCTCTGGAAACATCATTCTCACCTGGACTTTGACAATTTCATATTAAATCTCTTGAACAAAATGCCTGTGGGTGTAGATTTCTCCCCTTGAAGGCATGAGTGGCAGAAAACTTAAGTCACCGGGAGTCCTTTCCATTTAGTCCCATTGTGAAGAAAAAGGTCTTGCCCCTTATTACAACTGCTTACTTCTTATACATCCTCGCTTAATAAGGAATGAACAAGTTTATATCATGAAAGCTCCACCATACTGCAGCCAGGCTCAACATACGTTCAACAGTCCAATAATTAAAAATGTCAAATGAATAGACAAAATGGGAGACATAATTAGTCGGATCATAAAAGGAAATAAAATGGAATTCCAGTAAGCAAATATTAATACCAAAACCTCAAAGTGGGGTGTGAATCACAATTCTATTTACGTTAACTCTTGCAAAGCACATTCGTTGTAAAATGCCACATTGAATAATATGAAAAAGAAAGTGGAAGTGGCTTGCAGAAGCGTGTCCACCAAGCCCAGGGTGGTGCGCAGCGGGGCTGCTGCAAGGGCAGCGCCTACTGTGCTGGTGGGTGTGGCGCGCTTAGTAGGGGCAAGCGGCCGGCACACGCTATGAGATGGTGCCAATTACTAGCTGGCTACGCCGCCTTTCTTGGTGACACCTGTGACAGCTGGGCGCTGGCAGGACACAGCCCACTGCACTACTAGTGCTGGTAGTGCAGGCTGCTGGAGGTGTTTGGGGGTGGCCTGTTGGATGGAGGGGTGTGGCCCAGCTCTAGAAGGCAGATAGGGCTGCTTGTTGGCTAGGGGTGAACCCCATCGCTAGCTGTCACTTGGCTCTCAGCTGACTTGAGTTACTCTGCCAAGGTAGGTGGAGCTCACTTGAGGGGTTTGCCTCAGGAGGCTAGTGTGCAGGGTGGATATGACAATGGTGCCCACCCGTGCTGTTGTGAGCGAGGTGGTCAGAGTCTGCCTAGCAGTGGTGCCACCCTGGACCCTGAGGGCTAGTTCTCAGTCTACATACCTTGAGCTTCCATCGCTGCTTTGCCTCTCACCATCAGTCGGGGTTGGGGCTCATGTTCACTGTGCTGATCAAAAGGGTTGGGGTATAGGGCATAACCCTCCCCAGGAAAAAGTTCTGGGCCCGAGAGAACTCTTGCTGACTGCACCTCGCTGCCCTAGCACCTCTGCTGAGTGCCCCTTTCTTGCCTCAGTCTGGGTGCTGCCTTGACCTTTGCTGTGGAAGCCAAATTCGTCCACATTTCAGGGCAACTCCTGCAGGCTGGTATTTAGCTGTAGATTTTGGTGTGTCTGGGAGGAGGTGGGCGCGAGTTCTTCCTGTGCTGCTTCCTTGAGCCTGCTGAGTACTGTTGACTACTGCGTTAAGCCTCAGGTACAGGATTCCTTTACTTAAAAGCAGTTCCCATGTTAAGCTGCATCTCCACCTAACTGCAGTCCTCACAGTGAGCTGAAACAAACAAGCAACTCAGACTGTTCAGCCACCCTCCGGCACTGAGTCACCCTCCACCCCTCGCAGGGCACTCAGCACTATGCTGCACCCTGCAGGCCGGTTGACAGTGACCAAGTAGGTAAGGGCACCATAGCCAAGTCCTCTATTCAATGATTGAAATGTTCCTAGTTTTAGGAGATACAAGAAACAGAAATCAAAGTTGTAATCTGTCCTTTCCATACCCTAGTGAGTGTTTCACTGGCTGCCTGGGAAGCACAGCAGCTCCTCACTGGAGAAACCAAGGCCTAGACTATTCCCACCATTCTGAGGTTGTTACTCAGGGCTGATACACTTTCTATCCCAGCAGAGAGCGTTTGGCATTGTCAGGGTGTTTCACTGTCACAGCGCCTGGGATAGCTGCCTGTGTTTTGCATAGAGACAGACCAAAAAACCCTGTAATAGGAGCATAACCGCACACAATGAGAAACAGCTCCGTGGCTAATGACTGTCTCCCATGTTCATCCTCATCCCTCTGGCCATGCACAGACACAGCTCTTGTCAAACTAACCAGCTTCCCTGCAGCCTCTTGAAATCAGTCTTCCTGCCTTATCTAGCTTCTGCCTAGCTTTCCTCAAAGTCCTCCATTAAATGTTCTCATAGTAATATTTACTTTTTTCCTTTACAAAATTTACCTTGAATGCAACTATCAACACAATCTCTTGAATAAATCTCACTAGTCTGAGGAACATGAGGGCAACAGTAGAGATTCCAAACATACTGCTGAATTAAAGAAAGCCGGACAGGCAGCTAGATGAGTCCAAATCACTTTGGGTAGCCTCACTGCACCAAAGATCATGGACTACTTCTAGAGAAATCAAGGAAAGCATCTTAGACAGGTTTTCAAGTAGAAGAAACTCAAAATAGACTTTTCAAGTTAAAATATCATAAGGTAGATTTAAAATGCATTTTGTATTGTCCATTTCCTTGGCAGCTTTGCTAAACCTCATGTAAAAATGGCCCACAGGGCCTCCCCTGATAGCGCAGCAGTTGGGCGCTGGGTTGCTAAGCTGCCCGCAGCCTCTGCAGCACCGGTTCGATCCCCGGCTGCTGGCGAGGGTCCCACATGGCGCACAGACCTCTCCTGCTGCCCGCTGCTCCCCTCAGCAGTGTATTTCACTCAGTCTGCCTGTTCTGCTCCCCGCTCTGGCTCTGGTGAATTCTCTCACCCTCCTGCGCTTCTGACTGTACCCAGTGCTTGTATAAATAAATTAATTAAAAAAAATAAAAATGGCCCACGGATACGAAGTCAGTAGCTTCCTGCTGAAATTAGACTCAAAGGCATTTCCATGGCTGAAAGACCACCCATTCTCCCCCCCAATTTACCTGGAATCCACCTCGTTCTCCCCCCGCATCTGTCGTCTTGCTCTCCCTGAAACCCGGGCCCTTTCCTGCCAGCACACCTTGGTGGACACTGCTGCGTGGGCGCGAGGCGTTCCTTTCAGACACCTCAGCTCTCAGGTTACTTACAGTCACATTCTCGGAATTCTCCCCAGCCCCTCTTCCACAGCCGCCTTATTTCTCTTTTCCAGTCTGCATCATAAACTCCAATTAGGCATTACTTGTATTTGTCTTAATGTCTCTACGCTGCCTGAACGTGAATTCTGGGACAGCAGGAGACATGCATCTGACTCTCCGCAGTGTGCTGCAGGGAGGGGGCTTGGGGCAAGCAAGGTGCCGCTAGCGGGCCAGGAACTGTCTCCGTTCGTAAGCCTTAACTCGGTCAGTCTTCACAACCCCCCTTTCAGATGGAGGGGCAGGAGGCGCAGTAGTGGAGTATCACCCCTCTTTTGCCTATGGAAACTGACACATGGTGGGTCTCCACCAGGTGCCCCAAGGTCGCAGTCCCAGCCAGCGGCTCCCAGGGTTTTTAAACTGTCAGTCTGGGTTCAGAGTCTACCTCACCCTGCAAAGATCCATTATAATTAAAGGCTCTAAATTCACAGATAGACGGAATTTTCCATTTGGCCAGCTGACACCGCTTTTGAGAAATCCAAACCTCTCTGGAGTAAAGGGGGCGTTCTGGAGTGGTTCCTCTCCAGTGTGTGGTGGGGGACAGCACGCGCAAGTCCACTTAGACAGTCGCATGGGGGACATCACAGCAGCTGCCAGCTGCAGAGATGGGAAGGAAACTGAGCAAGGTGCTGAAGTCACTGCTAATGGCTCTGCCCTTAGCAGGTCAGCCACTTCACACAGGACATGAGGTAGGGACGGCCCAAGAGACGGTGAGTACAGGATTCAGCCTCAGTGACTCTAGAGAGGCTGAGAAACGGCTGTGACACAACTACCTAGGCCCGAAAAGCCTAGGAAAGTACCTGGAGAGAGATTAGAATTTTATACAAACAACTTCAATGACCAAACATTTAGCACAGAAATGTGCCTCCATTTAGAATACTCTGCCCTGCCCTTGTGGTGGCCACGGTCCTAATGACAGCTACCTGGAAGTGCTTGAACACTGCACTGGGCGCGGCCCAGGGGACAGTGCAGTCAACTCAGCTCGGAGACCTGGGGCTTTTCACGCCCTAAGTCTGGGAATGACAGTCCAGGGAGAGAGAGGATGTTGAAAGGTACAGACGTATGAAAAAGAAGGCTCATGTGAAGTAAAAACAGCTCACTGAGGCTGGTGCTTGGATGTCATTACAGAAATAACCTGAAGATGAAGTTACATTTGAGGGCTAAACTCAAATCATAGACATCCCAGTAATCATAATTAGAAACTGGTGGTATACTCTGCAATTGGTGGAAATTCATCAAAGATTCTAAAGAGAGACTGACACTAACCACATTTAGCCAGTAGGCCAGAGAAACTGGAGTCAGGGCAAGCACTAGACTCCACTCCAAGCCAGAATGAGCTGGACAAGAAGTAAGACAGTGCTTGTAAATTTGTGTATTCAAACATACTCACGGAGTGCTGCTATGCGCCAGACATTTTTCTGGGCCTGGGGATAGAGCAGTGGATAGTAAAGATAAAACTCTTGTCATAGGGTATAGAGCAGATGACAAATAATTTCAAGTGGATAAATATTTCAAGTGGATATAAGTGCCATGATGTATATGGGGTGAGGGTTAAGAGGTGTAAACAGGAGCAGGGCCTACAGATAGCTGAGGAGCCGATGCGTGTAGCAAGCGGGAGAAATAGCAAATACTAAGATCTCGATGGAGGCGTCTAATTTAGTGTGTCTGAGAACAGCAAGGAAGCTGTGTGGCCATAGTGAGCTGGACGGTGGGTGTGCAGCTCTCATGGGGACTTCACACCATGGTGACACAGGCAGTATCTTCACACTCCCACACACATACAGATCTATCTATGCACACAGCCTGGATCAGGTTCTGGAAAGATCATCCTGGCTAGTAAATTTAGGGTCAGAGAATAAAAGGAGAGGGCTCAGTTAAGTAACTATTGCATTATTCCAGACGACTAAGATGGCAGCCCTGGAGGTGTGAGCAGTATTCAGATTCTCAACTTACTTTGAATGTTGAGCCAATCAGATTCGCTACTGGACGAGATGGAAGGTGTGAGAGTAAGAGCTGTGAATGAAGGAGGCGAGACAGGTTTGCGATGTAAATAGTAGCAAACAGGGACAGGAATTACTGGCGCTGAGGAGAAACCACATGGGGGTGTACACTAGCATTCTACCATTCTACCGTGTTCAGTTAGAAGTTCCTCAGCCTCAGTGAACCTAAATGGCTTCACAGAGGTTGAAATCAGAGCGAATCCATGAGAACTGTGGAGCACCGTGTCTTTCCCACAATACAAATTCAACTAGATGATGCTATCAGTTGAGGTGCCTTCTGTCTGTTTATGCCCTCGTATCCTGATCTTTCCATGGAGATAGATAATAATAGAACCTGTGTTTTGGATTCTTTGGAGATAGCAGAGTCCTCGGAGAAAGGAGTCGAGGAAATGTAGGCTAGAGAGAGATCTGGAAATGATCACCATGTGGTTAGGAAGCAAAGATACTGAGTTGACAGGTATGGCCTGCTGGAGGAACGATGTACAAAGGAAAGTCTGGGCCTAAGTGATTACGGGAGGGTTCATGAGAGAAGAGGCATTTGAGCCACATTTTGAAGAACTGAGCTGTAGATCGATCTGTATCTATACCTATTCTGGGAGTAGAAACAGGAGATGAAAAGGAATTTGTAGGTGGAAGAAACAGTACACAATCTCCGAGAGCTTGTAGTGACCAAAACAAGAGGGAAAAATGTACGTGGGAAGATGGATTTTTATCCTGTAGGTTGTGAGAAGTTGTCAGACAAGCACGTGGCTGCATTTACATTTAAGAAGTCATGGTACTATGAGGTCAACAGTACTGCTACCAAAGCTAAACAAGGAGAGAAAATTGCAGACTAATATCCCTTACAAATACAAATGCAAAATAAAACCCAGACAAGCCAAATCCAGAGACAAATTGCCATTTATCCTGTGACCAAATGACAATTCAAAATAAAATTAATGTAATAATCACATTGATAGAAAAGAGGGAAAAACGATGAGCATCTGAAAATGGATGTAGAACAGTTGTGAAAAAAATCCAACACATTGTCTTGATAAAAATAGAAAGTCAAAGGAAACCTCGTTAATACAATAAAGGTCACTTGTGGAAAACCCACAGCTAACATATTCAAGAGTGAGTGGCTGAAAAAGAATGAACTCCCTGCCTTAATGCTATATACACACATTTTAACTCACATGGAAAAGTTCGTGAATGAAAGGATATCATGAAAGTGAAATAACCAACAGAATGAGAGAAAATTCAAAGCTGGCAAATGTCTGGAATATACAACACTGTACAGTGAATGAAAAGACAAATACAGCAGTTTTAAGAGGACGTGAGTATCTCTCTGTAGATGATACCAAATGGCCAAGCAGCAGGCACATGGGAAGATGCTGGACTTCGTTACACCTCTGGGAAATACAAATCAAAACTAGAATGCGAGACCAGTTCACATTCCCTATGATGAATATAATTGTAAAATGATGGACAGTTATTAGAGAAAAAGAGGTGTCTTTTCTGTTTTGTGCCTTCCTGATCTTTATGTGGAGATAATAGGACCTGTGTTTTGGGTTATTTGGAGATGGCAGAGTCCTTGGAGAAAGGAGTTAGAATCCTAGGTTAGAGAGAGAGCTGGACCTTGGAATCCTTGTTCTTTGCTGGTGGGAATATAAAATGGTATTGAGTTACTATGGGAAACAACAGGGCAGTTCCTCAGGTGAATAGAATCACCTTTGACACAACAGTTGAAACGAGAGACTCAAATACATGTGTGCATTCACGCCTCACAGCACAGTCACAACAACCAGAGACAGAAACAACCCAGTTGTCAACAGATGACTGGGTAGACCAGTTGGGCATATAGATCCAGTGGGAGATACCATGCAGTCATGCAGAGGAGTCACAGGCCAGTACACGCTGCCATACAGATGGACACTGGGAGCATGAAGCTAAGTGAAAGCAGTCAGTCCAGAAGGTCACAAACAGCATGAACCATGATTCATAGGAAACACCGAGAACAGGCCAATCTATAGAAATGAAAGCAGCAGAGGACTACCAGGGTCTGGGGAGACTGGGGAGTAAGTGAGGCATGGCACGGAACTGTATTTTGCAGTGGAAAACATGTTGTGGGGCCAGAGAAAGGTGCTGGCTGCACAACACGGTCACTGCACTAAATGCAAATGAATTTGCTCATTTTAATTCATTTTACATGACTTTCCACTGAATTAAAATTCACGTTGGCAGGCTGACCAGGCGGAGCACACATACACTGGAGACAGGAGGTGACAAGAAACAGGGAGGCTATTTCTGCTAGAGGGAATGGGAAGTGAGAGGAAGTGATGGGTTTGAGAGCGATTTAGGAAGGAGACTTTTGGAACCGCAAGCCAGTTGGCTGCCGAGTGCTGCGTTTCACAGACGCCTAAGAGCCATTTAACTTGTTCCTCTACTCAACAGAATAGTCTGAGCTACAGATAAATGTGATAGAAGCAGACTGAAGATAGCATGCTGGGAACACGATGGTCCCGATGACGCAAGGAAGTAGCATGAAGTCACCAAAATCCTCAGCGCAGACTGCAGATCTCCCTTACTCTGTGCAGTTGGGCAATTAAATCACCTAAACCGTTTTTACCATGATGATGACAAGTGCAACAAAAGCGGCACCAATGAATGAAATGAATGGCAATGACTAAGCTGGGGTGAACTTCCAGTTCTGGACATTTCTTTGTCTTCAAGTCTTTCTTTCCTGAAAGCAGTTCACTGTCGATAAAGGCATTGTTATGAGCTTGCCCAAGGGGAGTACGTGGTTGCTTTAACCTGAGCACCAAATTTTCGTGGAAGGACAAGACATCTCGTGCTTGTTTGTCTCCTTTCATGTGGACGGTTCACCCCAAGCTTTACCCCTTAGGACCCGCCCGTGGGGGCGAGTGCTCCAGTTTCCCTCAACGTTCTGCGAGCATTCGGTCTCGGCAGGGCCACGCATTTCCACTTGAGCTGCAGTAATACACTTTTTGCTATTTTAGGGTCAGAAATAAGCTTCCAAGTGCTTTGGCTCATACCTGGGTCATTTCTCTGTCAATCACACACAGGAGGGTGACATTGTTGCTTGAGAAACCATTCTTTTTCCCTAAATCAATCACACTAAGATAATTTCATTTCAATTGAAACGCCACAGCGGGAAATCCAAACAATTAGCAGAAATTTTTTTTTTTTAATGGAGGCATGTTTTTATTTGTTTGTTTTGTTTATACAAGCACTGGGTACAGTCAGAAGCGCGGGAGGGTGAGAGAATTCGCCAGAGCGGGGAACAGAGCAGACAGAGGGACCAAAGCACTCTGCTGCAGGGAGCAGCGGGCGGCAGGAGGGGTCTGCATGCCATGCGGGACCCTCCTCCGCAGGAGAAGTGTGCGACTTGTCCCTCCGCAGGCCAGGGAGCAACCGGGCATTGAACCGGCGCTCCTCCGCAGGGGAGGTCTGCGCGCCATGTGGGACCCTCCTCCGGTGGCCGGGGAGCAGCCGGGAATCGAACCAGCGCCGCGGAGGCCGCGGGCAGCTTCACAACCCAGCGCTCAACCGCTGCGCCACCGGGGAGGCCCAATTAGCAGCCTGTTATTTTAACATAAGAGTTTCGAAGCCGTTGCCTTGTACAAAGCAAATAATGAACACCTGACCCGTTCAATCTCCGGTTTAACTGTCAGTAGTTGTTAAAGCCGTCAGCGCTGACAGGTGCCTGGAATCATCAGGCACTGCTATCTTGAAAGTACCCAACTGTGTTAAGACAGGGTGCAAACACAGCTTAAAGCAAATCAGAGCTTAGCTGCTGCCAGTAGACTCGGATGAGTCAAATCACTACCATGTGGGTATGTGGGTTCTGCCATCCCAAGATATAAACGGCACAAGACATTAAGAGATAGAGACCAGCACTGCAACACACACAACCACAACCGTACAAACACAGCAACACAGCGCCCTCACCAGCCCCCCCATCCCTGTTGGCCAAGAAAAGAGAAGGCGACTCACGTCACACTGAAAAGGCTTTTCTCCGGTGTGTGTCCGCTTGTGCTCGTCCAGGCCGCGCTTCTGGCTGAAGGCCTTGCTGCACTCGGAGCACTTGTAGGGCTTCTCCTGCGGGCAATGCAAAGAGCCCGCTGTGAGTGTGAGGGGCCGCAGCGCAGGCCGCCGCGGGGATTATGTTCAGGGTAGTTCAGTTTCTGCATCGCATGATGTTATACTTTCTCGGGTGGAGTCATTTGCCCACCTAGATGGTGAACGGTTGCTGGGGTCTAGCGACTTCATGAAAGGCATGATTCAAAACCACCAAAGTCTCAGAACCCTGATCTGAATTGTTCACTGTCTAAGAAATCCTGGGAAGGAAAACTTCAGAACCAAATTTCAACAGATTTTGTCACTTAGTCTCTTTCCTCCGCAGGTGTTTGTTCTTTTATAAAACCTAGTTTATTTAATGAGGCATTTTTTTAAATAGTTGATCTTAAATAGGAGAAGAAATGCCAGCTCCTTAGCCATCTTTGATACCAAGAACTTATATTCCCATTTTTTTTTAAAGCTCGGAATGAACTGTGAAGTAAATGTAATAGTTACGTTAACAGAACGGCTCAGTTACTGGATGATGAAAGAATTTGTTTAAAGTGAACTTACCAGGAAATTGTTTTACAAATACATCTTGAAAATTATTGCGGTGGTTTTAATTTCATGTCCTCTAGACAAGTTGTAGTTTATGTTTTAAATTTCATTTTAGTATTTAATATTAGAAACTTGTTACAATCTCAAATATTAAAATGAAAACAACTGAAAATTTCATACCTAAAAGTCCTTACATAAGTCACCAAATAGATATTTATTTGTCCACTGACTGATAAGCTTTCCCGTCACTTGTCACTGGTACACCCCACCTTGGAATATCAGCATGTTGGGTATGGGCTAGCTTTCTTTACCTTGGTCTATATTTCTACTGCATATGTATGGAAGGATCTCTCTGTAAAACATGGCATTTTGCATTTTAAGATCAGGTTAATAGTTTGTTTTTCTGAGGTCTTTATCAACCTTTAGTTCCCACTTTCATTATTTGAACACATGTAGCTCCTACACATTAATTTTGAATGCAGAAACTAGTACTAGATCTCTGGATAGAACAGTATGATTATAGACAGCCTCTTAGTGTACAGCTAGGACATAACAGTATATTCTATCAGTTTCATTTGCAAATGTTGACACTTTAGTTCTTTTCCTCCAGGACCTATTGTCATTATTAAAGTGAATTTCCTATCTGTAATACATTTTCAACCTTTATATTAATTTTCTGAGTATAGGTCTCTAGTATGTGTCTGGTAGAGCCATCATTTCAATTGCAAACAGTCTTTATACCCTTATTTACGAGGAGTAACTCTCGTGAACACCATGCAGCTTACGTTTTTAAAATCCAATCCTAAATCCACTTTTTACAGAAATAATGAGAAGGATGTCATCCAGATGGCGACAGAAGCCATTTCCTGCTTTGCTCACAATAGGAGATCTAACCATTAGCCAGGAATGGGACACCACTAATTGAATGCTTTATCATGGGGGTCAGGCTGAAACCCCTCCTGCCCTTCAGAGACAGACTGCACTAGAGGGACAGGAGTCCGAAGGTGAGGGTGGAGCACAGAGCTGCCGGCCGGGTCATGGGGAGGCGGGAACAGTGGCGTGTACCCACCGCGCGTGCAGGTGGGCTGAGTCCAGGGACAGGAGGGGGTTCCATATACACAATGACTAAGTGCGACAGACTCCACCATCACCAGCAGGACAGAAATCATGATGAGCTCAGTCCTCACCAAGAAAGCACTGGACAGGAAGTAAAATCTTATTACCATTAAAACAGTGTAAGAAAGGTTGCATGTGGCAAACAAAGTGCAAGGCCAAAAGCTTTTCCTTCCAAGGTTAGGAATAAAATAATCACCTCTACTATTCAGGATGCCATGGAAGATATAGCAAGAGCAAATCGGCAAGAAAAAGATAAAATTTTATCCAAATTGGGAAGAATGAATTAAATTTACTTAAAGATAGGAATAGTATAGTAATGTGGCAGGTTAAAGATTAAATAAGTGAAAACCAGTATCATTTCTATATGGAAATTATAAATCAGGAAAGCAACTACCTCCAAAATAGAATACTTTAGAGTACATGTAACGAAAGAACTAAAACCTGTACATTGAAAAGTGTAAAACATTATTCTAAGAAATAAGACAGTGGAAAGATAGCCTGTGCTCATGTAGTTAAGAAGCGACAGGGTTTATTTACATGGCTGTGTACCTCAAGATTCAGATTCCATTAATCCATGTCAAAATCCCAACATTACTCTTCCCTGAAACAGAACCAGAAATCATGAGATTTAGTTGAAACTAACAATAATCACAAATAGCAAAATCTTGAGGCAGAAGACCAAAAAAACGAATTATACTACAAACTAAAACTGCATGGCACTAAAAGGAAGTCAGTAGAAAAGAAGTAAGAGCCCAGAAATAAACGCACACATACAGGCAATTTATGACAAAGGCGGCTACAGTCTGCAATAGAATAAGGAAAGTCTCTTCCGCAAGTAGTACTGGGGAGCTAGGATAAAACCAAACCACTTTCCCACGCTAGAGGAAAACATACGTGATGATACCTTGACGCTGGCCTCGCGCATATTTGGTACACAAAGCTAGGCAAACAAAACCAAACTACAGCAAACTGGTAAAGCTTCTGAAAATGTTCTTGTCTTTCCTCCTGCACCTGCTTGGCTTAGGATCCTGGGCAGGTGCAACCAGGTGCTCTCCCTGCCTCTCACACCGCCTCTGTCCTTCCTTCGTAAGCCACTCACCTCCTTTCTGGAACCGCAGCGTCTGTATGCTTCAGAGGAAGGAACGCTTTCTGTTGAAGCTCCTTCTGAGCTTTCGTTCTCAGCTTACCACAACCTGCCCTTTTAAAGCTAACTGTGCTTGCAGACAAACCTCAGCTCTTTCTTTCCTTGCACCCATGCCAACTGTGTGCCACAGTGAAGGAATTTCTGAAAATAACTGAGACACATTTTTGATGAATTTAACAACATAATGCAAATGGTACCAACCTGATTTTTCTGACCTTCTGTCACTTAATTCATAGGCTTGTGGGTGGGGGAGAAGGCAAACACTGACCGAAACTTGCTAAATAGGAAAATCCTGCCATGTAATTAGATCTGCTCCGACTTGTGGCAAGAGGCTAAGCAGTTGGCGCAGTTGCCTTCATCAAGCCACTTTTATAGCCTTTCCTAAACCTATTGATTGGAATAAGATTCAAGCTTGTAGAAAAAACCTTGATTATCCAGTCAATGACTAATTACTATCAGCATCCAATTATTTTCATAAAAGTTTATATATACTCAGTGATCTAGATCAGTGTACGACCTTTTATTCTGTTTATTAATAGACTGAGCCTAGTCCTTTCTCTTAATTAAAAGACACAATGGACTAGGAGACTCTGTCTGCTTTACCCATCGACTTGCCTGTGCTTTCACCATGTAATTAGACATGCAGAATCAAAAATAGTTTTTGCCATTACTGTAAAGGACACTGGAAAAGTGATCACCACAAAGTTAAGAATTTTAAAAGCATGCAGTCTCGCAATCAGTCTTTCCAAAGTGCTTCTAATTCCCAGTGGCAGGGCTTCCAGGAGCCAAAACGGTTTTTCCCAGTTGTCCCTCCTAATTGGCTGGGACAAAAAAGCTCTCCAAACGGGGAATAAATCTCTGTGCTTATTAACGCTAGAGTTGTATCTTGATGCTTTACCCCACAGTACAGAATGCACCTGCCTGAAAGTACTGAGTCCAATAGTGGGGATTTGCTTTTTTAAAAAAGGGATCCTTTTCTGAGTATTCCTTTCTGTTTAGGCCCTCCGAGAGCTATACATCCACTTTCTCCTGGTTCCTCCATTTCTCTTCATTTATTAGGCAGAGACTTCTTAAAATACCATCATACTGGAGATCCTTCTCTCAAGAGGGGTAACAAATTCTCAAGTTTGAAAGTAAAATCAAAATAATCAGCCAAGTGCATTGTAAAAAAATCAAAATAGTCAGCCAAGTGAATTAAATTTATCTTGGACATCCTGTATTTGCTGTCTCTGAGAGCACTTTAAAGCTGCTTCTGGAGAGACCGATCTATGTCATCAGATACCATCCTCCTTTTGGGAGAATTCTGCTGTTGGCAAAATACATAGGGCACCTCTCATCAAAATTCAAGCAGATGCCTCTAATTTCTCCCCAGCATTAGTCAATACCTTCTAAGTTAGAGGCTGCCAGAGCTCATCCTGTTTATCAGATTCACCTTTGTATGTATGCAAAGTGAAATGCTCTTGGGATACTTGAAAGACTGGGGGGGGTCATCATCAACCCCAACAGCTAGACCCTTTGCGCTTAAGGCCACTGAGAAAATCGAATGGGATCCCCTCATTTTTGTATGTCATACAGTAGAAAACCCCCAGATTTTCTGTTCCCTAACTTTTTTACCAATCAGCTGCCTTACCGCCTAAAAACTTCCTTTGCTGACTGCTCCCAATAAAACTTTCCCATGGTAGTAATAACCTTCACCCAGCCACTTATCCTGCTGCCACCAGTGCAGTTCTCCACGACCTCCCGACACTGATGGAGCAACACCCTACTCTTGTGGGAATCTGTAAGAAACAGCCCTGGAGGATGTTGAAGCAGTATTTGGCCTGTGGCTAGCCCAGTCCAACAAGCTGAACTATGCCAGCTCACTGGACCTGTTCCTTAGCCAAGGACAAAACTGACAACTTTCACACTGACAACAGATAAGCTTTCACAGCTGCTTATGATTCTAGAATGTTGCAGAAGCAAAGTGATTTCCTTAGAATTCCAGCAGAGATAAAATTTAAAATGGGCTATAAATGCTCAGGAATTGCTGGATGCTATACTTTGACCTGCTGCCTTAGCTATGAGGATGGTGCCAGGACAGTCTAAAATGGACTCTCGGCACTACAGGAAATCACCTTGCTGATACTGCTGTGGGGAATGCTGCTTTTGAAAGAACCTCACTTTTGATGAGACGCACTATGTATTTTGCCAACAACACTAGGAGAATTTTCCCAAAGGAAGGATG